AAAAGCAGAAGTGCTTTCAAAACACGGTGTTCAGTCTGTAGAGGTACTGACAGGCACCTTTCCTGCCCGTTTCCAGGAACTGATGTGAGGAACATGCACAGGCAGACAGGCTCCATCTGCTGTGTCCTGCCTTTGCAGGCCTAGCTATATGGGCGTGCCTAGAATAGATCTGGATCTCTTTGATTTGCATTTTTCTGCTCTGGGGATGGAACAGTGTGCCTCTCTTCCTTCCCATACTGGAGTGCTCTGTGCTGCTGCTTTTAAAGCAGAGAGTGGGAAAAGACAGTAGTGTTTCTTTCTGTTGCCTCTTTCATGAGTGTTTGGACTGAACCAGATGAGTTTCCCAGCAGTGTGAAATAGTGACAAAAAAGTAGAGAATCTGGGGTTTAAAACCACGTTCTGACCTTTCCTTGGAAAGATGTGGCAGAGCCCCCAAGGAAGTATCTTGACTTTGGTTTCTATTCCATCCTTTAGCTGTAAGTAAGATTATGCTGGTCCCTAGCGCAGTTTGGCTAGGTTTGGGTGCAAGAGGCCGTGCTGTAGAGTGTTTTGTGAGTGAGCCCTTTGGTGTTACATCGGTTTCTCTAGCACATCTGACCACTTGCGTGCAACCTGCAGCTGTAGGGGCTTGTGGTGCATCACACTTCTGCCAGGACTGTGCGAGAACATCTGACCCTCTGCGTACAGTGTGGTGTGAATAGAGGATGGGGCAGCTTCTTGGGGAGATGTGTTCAGCTTGTACTCATGTTACAAAGTCAGCCAGCTGTTCCCAGCCAAAATTAGCCAGCATGGGTTAATATGACCAGCTGTGGAGTGCTGATGTGGTGCCACATGAAGCTTTTGGCCTTTTGGTATAGGCTGGAGCTTGGTGGGGAATGGGTTTCAAGACAAATGGCATGTGGTCAGTAGAGACTCAATGCTACTTCAGGCTTCCTGTGGTCTAAGCTATGATGGTTCAGGAAGTGGTGTTTAACTCAGCAGTAATTGGTATCAGTGGATATCCATTATTTACTAGGTGTAGGTTGAGCACCTTGGGTTTGGGCTGAATTACTCTGAAAATGTTATATATGTAGAACCAAACCATGTGCAAGTGGAAGCTTTGCCTGGCCTACAGGAGTGTTGCTGACATGGACAACTCCTGAGGAGTTTGCACCAAGCCGAGGCCCTGCCATGGATGTACTGCTAAAATCCCACTTCACTCTTAATCTCAAGGATTCTGTCTCAAGTTCTCCAGCCTCAATTAGCATCTGTCTCTCATCCAGCAGAGCCAAGCCTGGGAGAAGGGGCATCCTGACCTGTTTCAAGAGCCCTGTCAAGTCCTGGAGAAGAGGACAGATAGGACTGCGCTCTTCCCCAGCCAGCACACTCTTTAGGGTAGAGGTGAGTAGCGGCAATAGGGATTTGAATGGAATGGAGAGAAACACAAAGCAGCAAAGGCTAAGCCTCAGCATGTGTTCTAGGAAGCTATTAGTCTGATCTTACAACTAAATGAGAAAGGAGCTCGTGGCTAAGAGGCTGCCTGTGGGCTATTGCATGTTTTAGACATACCTGAGATTGTGTTTTGGACTTTTAAGAGCCTTTGAAAAGTTGAGAAATTCATGGTCTTGTGAAATTATTACTGTGATTTCCTTCAGAGTTTGAATTCATCTCTGCTCTCACTTCTGCCCCGTTTTCCACTAGCACACTTAGTTATTTGAAACACAGTTGTGGAGGGTTGTTACAATGAAACAGGATCACTCATCACTAGCCCAGGTCTCCGATAGCAGCCTGTCTGTTTGGGATTCTTGGTGCTTTCACCCCGGTTTTGGTCAGAAGTTACATGGTCAGAATGGCTGCATAGCAGTCAGGTTATTGCCCTTGGGTGAAGAAGGCCTGGGGGAAAGGTGATGCCCACTTTCAGCCAGGGCTGTACTCATCAAGAGTTGAAACCAGCTTGTACAAGAGACTTCTGTGTGCAGTTGTGGGACTGCTGCATCTAAGGTTGCAAGTGCAAGGTTCATAAACAGGATTTGTATCCTTTCTGCCTTGGCATTTGCTAGGTAGCCTTGTGTTACTGGCACTTGCTCTACTGCCCTTGCCCTGGGACTCTCTGTACCAGATGTGTGACTACTCGGGGTGCTGGTCTGACCCACCCATCAGCTGTGCTTGGCTCTATGAGGAGGGAGGCAGCACTGTGCTCCTACCAGCTCCCCTTTCTTGGTGGGTGAGGGAGGCCACCCTCTGCACCACATCCCTTCCCTCCCTGCGTGCCTCTTCCCTTTGGTTCTGCCCAACCACAAGGCAGGCCAAGGGTTATCAGCCCTGAGCATGCACTGTAGGGGCAGAAGAGCTTGTGACCTCGGTCCTGTTTTCTCCTAGTAGGCCTCTCTGGAGGCTCAGAAGAGTTGTGTTCATGTAACTAGAAGCCATTGATGGCACTTGGTCCAGCCTTCCCTGTCTCTAGATACTTGTTGGGGAAAATACTGAAATAAGGCCGAGTACATGCATCTATCCCCACATGGGGACGAGGGACGTGCACTTGAAGTGCTGCAGACGTGTAGCAATGTCAGCTGGGTGTTTCACTTCAGAATATACTGCTGTGCACACAGACCCGAGCAGCTCAGCTGCTCTCAGTATGTATTTGGGAGCTCCTCTGTGGTAACACTGCTCTTCATTCCAGCCTCTGGCACCGTGAAGGATTGTCCCTCCCTTTCCCACCATCACGTCTTGGCTTTAAAGCCCCACTTGTAGGTTATGTTGCACCACTCTCTTACATGTGGCTGTGGCAGGAAGGAGTTTCATGCCCCTCATTGATGTGAATAGGACCCTTCTTGCTGGGTCTCTTTTTATGGCTGCCTGTGTGTGTGATGGGCAGCTCTCCAGAAATAGGGATATGCAGCACTAGAAAGGTCATTTTCATGAGACGTGGCCATGAGCACTGCTGCAAGATGTGGGGTTATGGGGAATTTCTTTTCACCCTTTTCATTTTTATTTTTATTTTTGCAGGGCAGGGACTTTGGTCTGAAGCAGAGGGTGACAAGAGCTGTGCTGTCTCTGAGTCCACCATGGAACAGGTTAGATTCAAGTGTGTCTTGAGTCAGTGGTTCAAAGTGAGCAGTGGTTCTCTTGGGCACTTGCTCCAGGATACCTCAAAGTCTTGAAGTGATGGCTAATGTCCTTATCTTCAGAGTTCCTGCAGGAGCCCTGGTACTGCTCTGAATATATAAATGGATGGAACCACTTAGTTTGCAAGCTGCTTCCTTGGGAGCAGTGTGATGTTCCTCCTTTAAACTGTAGGCTAGAGATGTAGCTATTTAAGAGACTACAATGTTTATGATAAAGCTGTGAACTACTAAAACTAGCAGATTCATAGACACACCACTGATCAATTTATTGCATTTTCGTGCAATATTAAACAATTATGAAGTTACTGTTTATCACACTTAAATCTTACTTACATTGAACTGCTACTGAAATGTTTCTCATGCTCCCCACCCCACCTAGTGTTAGAGTACTACTGTAGCCCTCCTTGCTCTGCTCTCCTACAAGCCTTTTGAACATAAACCTGGTGACTAGTCCAGTGGCTTGTTCAGGGGGATTCCCACTGGTGCCCTGGTGAGCTTGGGTCACCATGTGAACTTCACTACTGTCTGTAAACGTCCATGGAAGATGTGCCTTCTGTTGGTCTGATCATATGCCTTATTTTCCATTTGTTTCTATTTCTGGACTCTTCTTTTTGTTATCTTTGCTCCTCCTTCTCTCTGCCCAGTCTCCTCTCAACTAAACAACCCATCCTTAATTACTTCTTATGCATTTGTCCTAGTTTTGCTGCTGTTGCCTAGGCAATATGGGTCCTGGATGATAGTATTCATATGGTTACGTAGCTGGAGGTGGCCTTGCAAGGTTCCACTCTCCAAAAGGTACCCAAAACTCCCTTTCAGTTATCAGGTTCATCCTGACTGCGTATTAATGACCCTCTGCAGTTGGCAAGACAAACCATTTTACTTTACCTGTGATTCTCCTCCTTAGTTATTAAGCCTAAGCATTTTCTTATCTTATAGACAGACAGCCTGCATACCAGAGTAAGGATTTTTTTTTTTCCTCGCTTTATTCCTGTGCTTACACACCATCCTGCTTTTAGATGTTTAAAATTATTGGGCAGTCGCCTGGTTTTGTACAGAGGCTTTAGTTGGCTATGAGCCCCTGTGTTCCAGTGGGACCTCTTGCTCACATCAGCCTGCCTCAAGGCCCTCCTCAAGCTAACTAATTTGGGCACTCTGTGCTGCCATGCTTGGAGGCAGTGTGGCATGTGGCTGTACTGGGGAGGAAATGTGCCAGGGTAGGTGTCACCAGACCCTAGTGATCTGCCATCTCACCATCACTACTCTTGTGAGCAGCTGCTTGGCTCTCCACAGGGAACTGAACAGTTGTACTGTGGAACTAGTTGAGATCCATATGAAAAGGGAGAAGAAATGTGAACCTTGGAGGTTTTTGTAGCTTTATGCTGTTATCTCTGTTTTCCACCCTGTTACTGCTGTGCTCTGATTACATTTAAATGGCGAGCTGCTGGCTTCGTTATGCACAGGAAGTAGAATGCCCAATTATCAAAGGCAAGGGTGAAAACATTCCAAACACAGATGTCTGAACAGGGAGAAGTGGGTGGCTAGTGCTGAGTACACATCTGCTTCAAAAGAAGAACTCTGATCAGGGCTTCTGTCATTGCCACAGCTGCAAATCTGAGGAGGAGGTGAGCTGGCTTTTCCAGCACTGGTTTGTAAGAACAGAGCTATCCATCATTCACCATCAGGCAGATCTGTGTGGGTGCACATCCAGGAGCTGATAAGCATTTGCTCATGTCCTGTGGGCTCCCTATCTAATGCTGCTCAGGAGGCCCAAAGGAGGCCTGAGAAATGTGTTCAGGGATGGAAAACGGGCTGTGCATAGACCTCTTGAGTGGGACTTTTCCTAGGCATGGGCTTAACAGTGACTTTCTTCTATTTAAGATCAATGGATCTGTCCAGATGGAGTGTGCACTGCTGTACACCTTCCTGGAGGTATCCCCTGACTGTAAGTTCAGAGAGCAACTGCATTCCCTGCAAAATAAGCAGTTTCAGTGGCAATATTGCTGCTGCTATGACGATGCAGAACTTCAGACCGATGGCAATCGGAGCGGGCATATGCAGAATGGTGAGCCAGGTGAGTGCTCTCTCCTCCTTCATTCCTCATGATCTCTGGAGGTGGTGGTGTTTACCCTTTTCCTATCTTTGCTGCTGGTCTGGTTTGGAGGAGTGATGTTTTCTTCACAGAGAAACTTCAGTGTGGCAGCTGGTGGTGGTATTGGTTGGGAGTTTAACACTTGGGATAAGACAGCTAGTGCTTAGCACTCTATCTCCTCATGCATTTCTAGAGCACACGTCACCCTGGGGTTTGTCTGTAGCACATCAGACAGTGCCACAAAGCTGGTACTGGTGATAGCTGTCCTCAAGGAGCATGATATTAAGCATTTTAAGTTAGGCCTCACACTGCTCCTTGGGCAGTGTCAGTATTAGGGCTAGGATTTTGGAACAACTTTTGTTCTGGTAGTGGGTGAATCCCTTTCTGCTCTACCAGTGTGGTAGAAACTGATGCTCAAATAGTGCTATGCCTGCTTCACTAGTGATCTGCAGGATAGCTGTTGTGTCTTGCCCAGGATGTGTCAGCTGGCACATTGATCTCAACCTATGCAGGGTGAGGAGGAAGTGCTAGAGTAAATAGCCCTCCCTCATGCAAAAATGCATAGGTTTTGTGCCCCAAGTGACAGTGGGAAGCTTTGCCAAAAGGATATGGGACAGGAGTAATGGTTTTTAACTAAAGGAGGGATAGATTCAGATTAGATGTAAGGAAGAATTACTTTATGAGGGTGATGAAACACCGGAACAGGTTGCCCAGAGAGGTGGTGGGTGCCCTATCTGTGGAAACATTCAAGGTCAGGTTGGATGGGGCTGTGAGCAATCAGATCTATTTGAAGATGTCCCTGCTTACTGCAGGGTGAGGTTGGACTAGATGACTTTTAAAGGTCACTTGCAACCCAAACTATTCTATGAGATGGTGCTTAAGAGACTGTAGTCCTTCTGACAGTAGTCACTTGAAAAGAAGTCATGCGTTCTCTCTTCCCCTCTAGGCAGGTGGTGTCTGTAGCTGTCCTGTGCAAACTTCAGTTGGAGATGTTCTAACCTCCTCTGTGGTGTGTTTGAGGCAGGGTGAGGCTGCACTCCACCTAAACTACAGATAAAAACTGCTTGCACACTGTCTCTGGTAACCAAGTTAACTGCACACAAGGGAGTTACAGTGTGTATAGCTGTTCTGAATGCACTGACTGGGGGGGTTGGGAAGGAGGTTTTATTGGATATGGGCAAAAAGCTGACCTGCACTGAACCTTATCTGGCTGCAGCCTGTGAACTAAATCCTGATGTATGTGTTGGCAGTGTCTGACCCTCAGGTACATGACGAAGTTGTCCGGATCATTGCTGCTCAGCTTGCTGAGATTGGAGACCAGTTTGATAAAGAAATCAAAGCAAGAGTAGTAAATGATCTAGTGCAGCACTTTCTGAATGAGAATCTCTCGAGAGAGGTGAGTGAAAAGCAGCCTGGCTAGCAGTTCCCCTTTTAGATGATGTGCATCCTTCCTGCTGTGACAAAGAATTTGCAAGTTTGCTGCTTCAGTCTTTGCGAGTTTGCTGAGGCAGTCATTGCAGTTGTTGCTGAATCTTAAAATTCAGCCCAAGCACTTACTTACCTTTGAAGATTTGTTAGGGGTCATGCTGTATCCTGTGGCAGCTGTGACCCTGCAAATTGGGTTCCGTGGGCTCATCTCCTTTCTGCAGATGGTGAAATAAAGGCAGTTGTGGAGGAGGACTGACTTTCAGAGGCATTTTGTCCTCATCTTGTTTGACCACTGGCTTATGTTTTGAAAATCAACCATCTGGTTAAGGCTTAGTATTTGTCCTTAAGGTCTTTGGACTTTGATGCTGAGTCCCTCATGTCTGCTGCTTGTTATGTGGGTAAAAATTGAGCAGTTTTAGTGCCAGAAGCTTGGGTTGTGCTTCTTAGTGAGCACTGAAAAGACAGCAAGTAGTGAGACCCTCTTCTAGTGCCATAACTGTTTAGCTTGGGGGCTGTCAGCATTGGGAGCAGCAGTGGGTTTTGGCCAGGGAGGGTGACCTGCTAAGGAGGCCTCTCTAGGTGGCAGCTTCACCTCTGTGATGCAGTTGCTCTTCCACCTATAGATGTGATGTAGTCCCTGGCCCAGCATCTCATGTGTCTCGCTGCTCTGCAAGGGAAGTAGTTTGAGGTCCCTTGTGTTAGACATCCCTCTTATTTTTAAAGATTGGGTCCACAACTGCATCAAGAGTCACGGTTTGTTTCTGCAGAGCTGTTTGCATCTTTAAGATAACTGTGGCTTTCTGGCTTGTATGGCTTTCTCTGCCTGTCATGAGGTTTCCTATGCTCTACAAGCTAATGCTATCTTTGAATTGAGGGTCCACCTTCTTGCTGAAAAGTCAGGATTTAATGACTTACAACAATCTTCTGTGTGTGGTTTTGTGTGTGCGTTCTAGGTGTTTTCTACTAGGGTTTATCACCTGCACAGACTTAATTGCAGCACAGTCTGACTATTCCCCACTCCTGCTGTTTTGTTCTCCATCCAGCTAAGTTTCAGGCCCTCAAATTTACTGTCTAACCTTTCAGTCTTTGATAAGGCTGAGACAAACTGAACTTCTGACCAGGTGGACCTTGCTTTTCCACATGAGTAGTGTAGCTGACTGCGTGCATATGCATATTGTCTCTCTTGGGAAACTGATCTTGAGCAAGGCAGTGTTTGTTGCATGCTTGTACACCTTTCCAAGCTCCTTCCTGCATGAAGGCTTTTCTGTGAAACTTGCTTTGCCTTCTTGCCAATCCCTGTCTGAGCTTGTACCCCTAGTCTTCACTGTTGAGAGTGGGTTACCCTTTCCCAGGAGCCCCAGGATTCCGGTGCCACTTCAAGTCTTGGCAGGCCAGGTACAAACCCTGGGGAGGAGGAGGGCTGCTGCACCTGGAGTGTGTAAGGTGCTATCCAAGTTTTCCAGTGGTATGCGTGTTGTGTCCCTTTCTTTTTGTCTTGGGTCAGAGATGGTGTTCCAGGGATCAAAGGATTCCGGGTGGAGAAGGAACTTAAGCCACACATATACACACCGAAACTACTGGAAAGTTTATTACAAACTCTAAAACAGATGTAAACCCCAGAGACTAATCCCAAACCAGAAAGAGAGCTAAACGCTCCAAAAGAACAGATTAGGCACAGTTCTTACCAACCTACACATTTGTTCAATGACCAGGAGGCCAGCTCCAAGGTGCATTGATAGCAAACAGGGTGGTAGGCACTACTTGGCGGGCATCCCCGCGGAGGTGATGTCGGCCATAAAGGATCAGTCTCCCACGTCCTCTTCTCTCCTCCCTCCTTTCCTCTTCTCTACTCCCGATCTTTCTCGAACCCCGGGCCTTTTATATCCCTAAAAGTGCTAACTCATCCCAAAGCAGGGGCCAGACTGCGTCCGGAGGAGTGGCCCTGCTGGCTTCCTTTTCCCCAGCACGTTCATCCTGATGCAGGGGGTCAGCCTGTGCCAGGAGGAGTGGCCCTGCCGGCTCCCCACCGTGCACCCCCACTCCAGGTGATCGGGGATGGTCCACCATGGACCAAGTTTTACCATGTTAGACCCATCCAACACAGATGGTCATCCTTATTGCAGTCCAGGATGTGTAACAGGCAGGTGGCTGTGCCTGGGAGGAAGGGGAGCAGCATCCTGTGGGGTGCTGGAACAAACACATTAGTTACCAGCACAGTGCTGGCGGGCTCACTTGAGACCCTTTCTCCCTTCCTTCCATACAGGAGATAACCCGGCACATGTCAGAGGCAGTGGAAGAGCTTGCACGAGCCATCCCTTCAGACATGGAACGGGAGAAAGCCGTGTTGGTGCTAGCAATGGTCTTAACTAAAAAAATTGCCAATACAATGCCCTTCCTTCTGCCTCGTGTCTTTAGCACCACTGTGAACTACATCAGCCAGCAGCTCCACAACTACGTTGCCAGAATGGTGAGTGCTGGGAAAGGCAGTCCCTGTGTGCTGAGGGAGGAAGGCTGGAGGGGGTCATGTCACAGCTTCTGTTTGCCCCACTCTCACAGCAGCCAGTGAACAGAGAGCATTTATTCGGTAGAGCAGAGGAAAGAGATGTGATTGCTCCTCTTCTCCCTGCAGTGTCTTCAGGAAGCTATGCCCTTCAGACTCAGGTTAATCATGTCCACAGGGAAGGAAAGCCTGACCACACGCATGGTGGCTGCATTTCCCAAATGTCTTGGGCCTGAGGTCTCTGCTTGTGGCCTGCCTAGAGCTTGGCACAATTGGATGGGATAAGGAGCTGCCCCTGAGAAACAGCATCAGAGGAACACAGAAATGGCAGCTACATTCTGGTTCTCTGTTGGAGCCACAGCATAGGTGGGAGACTGAAAAGCCAGCAGTCTGGCCAGGGTGGAGGCTAGGGCATTTGACCCCAGCTTCAGTAACTAACCTACCAGGGAAAGGGAGAGGACATGTACATGAAGACATACTAAGATGATATGATACTTGAGAGCAGTCAGGGCTGTGATCCTGCCACCCTGGGGAGCAGTGGTGACCCAGCTGTGGGGTCCTGCAGGTCTGTGGGGTACCCCTATGCTGCAGCCTTGCCATAGTGTTGGCAGCAACCCACAGAGGGGCCCAGCTCACCCTGTGTCATGAGACCAGGCAGCTGCCTCCTACAGCACCCCAGTTCTTTGCCAAACGCAGTGTCACATGAGGTGTCACTGAGCACTGTCCTCAGCTTAGTTCAAGGTTGCTGAGTTACCACAGGAGCTGGTCGCTAGTGTCATTCTGGCCCTCATGCTGCCTCACATGGAGAGCTAGGCAGGGAGGGCAGGCAAAGGGCTGCTGGCTGTCCACCACTACAAGTGTAGTGGCATGAGGAGGAGAACAGAGGTGGGCACCAGGCACTGTTCCCCTGGGACTGCTGGCCCCATTAGCACAGGGAAGGGGGTCTGAGGGGTGGTGGCAGCACAGCAGGTGGCAGAGGTGAGGCACAGTTGGTGGCACTGGGGACATGCCGGGGCTTATGCTGCCCTCCTGGGGAGCTGCCTGGCTCCTCGGGCTGGTGGCTGGGCATGGGATGGCTCTCCAGCCGCTCTGCTGTTAACACTGGTTCTGTTTCTCTGTCCCCAGATGCGCGAGTGAGCTCTCCAGCCCTCCATGTGGAGAATGTGCATTCCTGAAGACTTTTTACTTCATGTATGCCAATCACTTTCTGCTTTTACATGAGATACAGCCGTGAAAGGAAAGGCAGAGCTTCAGTAGGTAGGCTTTTGTAGACTAGCACAGCACTGACAGTAGCGCCAGCTCTGCCATGCCTGTAAGGAGTAGTGCTTGCCCTCTCTCATCTTACAGTAGGGTGTTTTCTTTTATTTCTTAGCAGTAGCAGACTTCATGCAGACCCTGGCTTGTGCTTCTAGAGGAAATACTGTGGGCCCAGAGCCTGCCCTCTCAGTAGGCTTGTTTTCTAATCAGCTGTGGCATTTTGCTTAGTTGTTCTCTTCCCAGCCCTGCTCCTGGTGCTGCAGCTGAGCCATGAGTGTTAACTGTTCCCAGGAAGGCCTCAGGCTGTAGAATGGGTGGTTTATCAGTACAGGTCATGGAGGGGGAGGAAAAACAATCAGGTTTATTAGCTCAGTGGGGAGCTGGCAGCAAGAGGGAACAACCCTAAAGGAGGTGCTGAGCCAGGGAAGGCTGAAGCAAAGGTACTTCTGTATCAGTCACCATAAACCTGTGCTTGCTTGAAAAGTCAAATGAGAAACCAAAGGGCAGGGGTATGTACAGGGCAAAACCTGCTGGGGAATGCAATCTGGATATGCTTGAGGAAAGGTGTGTTAGCTTTAGAACATCCTGCTATGAAGAGAAAGAAGGTATCAGCCTTGGGTCAGGAAGAATCAGTGGCATCTCTTGCGAGTGTATTGCAGTCACATCTCAGGTTCAACAAACTTGGACTCAGGTTGTTTGATACATACCTGTCATCACACACATGGTGGCAAGGGCTTCACCTGTGATCCAGCTGCCTCAAATTTTGTAATGTTGTAAATATTTTGTAGGGGTTTTAACTTAAATAAAATTGTCAGTTCTCATGGCAGTACAGCTCTTAATTTCAGTTTACACCTGGATTTATTTTTGGTGGTGGTAAGTCTTTTGCGCAAGCACTCATGGCATTCCTCTCATTTACTACTGCTTATGGCAGAACTCTGCCTCTGGCCTTGTGTAAGTAAAACCACCTTTCTTCTTCCTTTTGGTGCTTGCACTGGAACAGGGAGGGGAGAAGAAAAGCACAGAAGTAGTTTACACGTGGTTTTTGAAAACTGTACCATTTATTAAAGTGCAACCTGGGGGCATGGTCTTACAGCAGTGTCCCATTAGCAGAGGGGAAAAAAGGTACATACCCCTTCACTTAAACTGAATGTAGAGCAATGAAGCTGGAAAGAACTATTAAAGGTGGAAACACTTTTATTAACCAAATGGCACAAGAAGCTTCAGCCAGTTTTCCCCAAGAGGGCTGCACCTGCATATTAAGAGGAACAATATGACCAGTTCCTTGGATAATGGGTGACTTGAAGATCAGTCAGGGTCTCTTCCCTCAGACAGGCCTCTCCAGAACAGAATCTGGCATCCCTGCAAGTCCATGACTATGCTTACACCCAGCTGAAGCCTAGTAGAAGATAGCCCCTAACATGCATGCTTCAGTGTCAGTCCCATTAGTCTTTGCTACTTAACAAAGCAAGTGGCATAGTTTTGGTCTGAGTGGGTTTTAGCTTTACACTCAAATAAAAGCTTGTATTGTAAGTTAAAAATGGGGACAGGGCCCCCTAAGGGTATAGCAGTAAGATGCATCCTCTGCAGCTTATTCTGTCCAAACCAATAGTAGTGTTCCTTCCCTCCCCTGCAGATACTGCAGGGAGATCAGAAGCAGCTTCCACTGGAAGCTAACTGTAGCTCCCTCGCTTCTACAGTATAACCATAGGCCTCTTGCTTGGAGGAAGCCAGTCAGCCTACCTAAGAGACCAAGAGAGGGTCAGCTCCAAGTAGGAAAAAAGTGATAAAGTGATTTAACTTAAGGAGGTGCATCTGGGCCATGTGGTGGTGTGGTTCCCCTGGGCTCACCCTGTCCAAGCTGGTGCCATTCCCCATGCTCCAGCTGAGCACACCAGTTGGGAGGTCAGTTCAGCAGCCACACACACACTGAGTGCTGCTGTCCAGAGCCAGCCCTGCAGCCCCTGCTCTCTATGGGCCCAAAAACCTGGGCCACCAGAGTCAAGGAATAGTGGCTTAAATCATATACCTACCCACCACCCCCACTTCTTTTTGATGGCAGAGAGAGCTTGCACTTTGAAGCACAGGTATGTACATGGAGCCAAAGCAATACTGTTCTTGTAGCTTTCCCAGTGCTCAAACTAAGCAGGCTAAGCCAAATTAAAGTCATGCACAGCTGCTGTCATCACTAGGCACAGGAGATAACGCATGTCACCTCTCATTGTTTCACTGGGAACAACTTTCTCCATTTGTGTAGACTACTGGAGTAGACACTACTACTGTTGGATGTGTCTGCTCCTGGTGTGGAGTAGACACATACAGGTGACTTTATGCCTGAAATGAGGCATGCTAAAGACCTGGGTTCTAACCCAGGCACAGCAGCTGGGCTGTGGTCACTCCTCTACCCACCCCACAGCCAGAATAGTCAAGTAGATCTGTAGCATGAGCTTGCTCTGGGTCAGTGAGCGAGAGAGGATGCTGCCAGAAGCACTCATAGGTTTTGTGCCAAATGAGGAAGATTTCCTCACTAGGGCTTTGCTAGTGCTGCCATACTGCTGGAGCTGAAATTAATGTAGGGGGGAGTTATGACCCCAGCTTATTTTGTTTACTACAACCCTTAAACTGAAAAAAGACCAAACTTCAGAACCTCAGCTTGTTCAGTGCTAATGAAATCTTACACTGGTGGCCATTAGAAAGCATGGCTTAGCGTAAAATATAGTCTAAAGCATTAACCTTGCTGCAGCCAGAGCTACATGGAAAGGAAGGACCTAGGATTCTGGCAGCAGAACTTGCCTTGTGCAGGAGCACTTGACATGACAGCTTTCACCAGCCCTTGAGCACAGCCCTTGCCAGGGTGGAGCCTTGTAGTAGTAACTTGCTCTCCAGAAGGCAGGTTAGGAAAGAAACAGCCAACTGCAACCAACACACCAACAGGCACTTCATTTCCAACCAGACTTTAAACTGGTGTCCAACCCAGGTGCAGCACTAAGCAGAGTGCATCTGCTGCATCACTGGCTCTGCGCTAGGAGCTGCTGTTGAGGCTGGTGTGTCCCAGTAGAAGGGACAGAAGGCTGCAGCAGAAGTGGTGCTGTTTGGCTCTGGCCTGTTCCATGGGGCCAGAGCTAGTGTTTCAGACCTAAGTTACTGTCATTATTTTTCAGCAGCCAAATTACCACCCTGAGAACTCCTACTTGGTGTCCACCCTGCCTGAGGGGAACTGAAACCTGATGTTTTCAAGCTGCATCTTTGTCCAGCGATATTCCTGTTTTGCTGTAGCTGAGCAGCTTGGCACTGCTGCGCCAACTACAGCCCTGCAACATGGAGCTGCTGATGTTCAGGGAATTCGGGCAGCAGAAGTCTGTCCCAGGCTCTGTGGACAGTGGCTCTGTGCCTGCAGTTTGGGCTGTTGTGCAACAGGAGATTCAGGGCTTCGGCCTTTGCTCCCAGCTTGTTGTTCAGGGACACTTGCTGAAGGAAGCTCTTGCCCAGCTCCCAGCAGCAGCACACAAATGAGCACAGCTTAAAGAACAACTGAATTTAAGTTGCACTGTCTCTTGAAAGCCTTTTCCTTGGCAGCAACTTGTTTAGCACTGAAGTTCCTTAAGTATTTACCACTTTTTTTATAGATCCAGTCCTCTGCTGTTTTAGCATCTCAGCTTTAGGGTGTGCTGCAGACAGGGATAAAGTGAAGAAAAATGGGTCTAAGGTAGATATTTTGTTAAAGTACAGGCCACTCGAGGACAGATATTGAGGCACTTTTGGGAAGGGGATAAGCAACACAAGTGAGAGTAATTCTATATGCCCTTTTGTAAGTGTAGAGCTACTGCCTTTCCTCTGCAGCTGCAAGGGAGCCACTAAAGAGAAGTCGTATCGCACGGCTCAGGGTAATTAGACCCTGCAGTTTAGAATTACTGCAGTATACTTGAAGATACGGGGGAAAGAAGAAAAACCCTTTCATTTTCTAATCCACACCTGTAACAGAGCAAAAAGCCTGGCACTCATGTCTATAAGAATGCTGTTGTCTGAGCAATTGTGACTTCCACAGGGCCTGTTCCAGCTCTGACCACAGGGCTTCAAATTCAGTAGCATTCAAGTCCGTAACTGACCTTTTTTTGCCAATGGAGTGTTCCCAGAGGAAAGAGACAGAAACTTTATCATCTGTAACTGTGTGGTCTGTGGAAGGGAAGGAGAACAGGGTACACATTCTTGCTGACTCCAAGACCCTAAACCAAGAAGAATATAAAGAAAGGACCAAGCAACCAAAACATGCAGTGCAGCTGATGCTCCATTAAATCTAGCGACACACCAGGTACTCCAGGCTTTTTTGCACCACCATGAAAACATGTAACAGAACAAAGGAATTTATTTTCCTTACTGCTGCTGCCACCTTCTCCTCACTTCTGTGTGGTACTTTTCATTTAATACTCCCCTGGACTCCTTGTGCCCACAAGCTAGGGACGTCTTCCCTACCCAGTGTGGATTTATCCTCCTCTGTCCTGTCCCATCTTCCACATTACTACTGAAAACTGTGCACAGAGAATACCTAAAACAACACCAGCCCTGCTTCCCCACCTCAGTCTGGAATGTCCACAACACCCACCTCTGCTTCAGCATGTGCATGGGTACTTCTGTGTAACCTGCTGCATGGCTACACATGGGGGATGTCCCAAGTGTAGGTGCGGCATCTTCTCTAAGGAGCAGCTGAGTCGATCAGGTCAAGAATGACCCTTCTCCCGGTGCCATGAGCAGAGCAGCAGAAGAGGGGCAGCCTACCCTGGTGTAGGGGTCATGAAGCAACCCCTGCCACATGGGAACAAGCAGGTGCCCTCACAGACTGTGTCGCTTGTAGATACACACTGTTGGGACACGTGAAATGGAGCAAACCTGTAAACACTGTGCCTGTCCATGACAAAAGGAGCATAAAGATGCCTCTCCTTGGAAGGGAAGGTCCCATGAGGGGCTGGGATGGCAGACACCAGAGTCCATGGTGTGAGGAGGTCCCAGAGACCCGTTCTGGGCACACAGCGCAGCAACGGGAATACCAGCAGGGCACCAGGAAATGTCAAAAAAAGAGTCAATTCTGCTTTACAATATGATAAAGGGCTTCTTTTTCTGTTAAGGCTGACCTGATATCATTTGTATGTGGATAAAGAGCAATCAGTGATCAACAGTGATATCCAGAACCCCAGTCCACAGCAGCAGCAGTACACACGCAACAAATCCCTCCTCTTAATATTCAACTTTACACACACAGTTCAAAATCCAGTGAGTTTTCCAAAAAAATCCGCTCTCATAAAAGCTTAAACATAAAAACTTCCCCAGAATCTGCCAGGTTCCTACTGACTTCCCAGCATCGCAGGACACAGGGGGAGATAGGAAAATATAGCAATAATATCCCAAAATAGAGAACGTGCTAAAATCTCTTCATTCTCAGCTCTCTTAAGGAACAGGCTCATTAGGAGACATACTCTAGAGAAGGTTATGCAGAATGAAGTACCTTGTCTTTGTGCTTATGAAGAGTCAGCTTCCTGTAAGCCCAAGTCCCCTCTCGCCTTCCTCCACCTGGCCAAAGCCACGGTGCCAGCACGAGCCCTCAGAGCTGTGCTGCTGCTTTGGGCAGGAGAGCGCAAGGTCTGGCGCACGGAGCTGCAGCACGGACAGGGACACACACAGACGCGCAGAGAGGAACGCTTGCGGGTGCACCTGACATAACTGATGCATATGGCAGTACCTGAAAGGTTTCCCTCCACACACACGGAAGTGTGGTGACTGCAGGAAGCGGGGTTTGCTTTTTGCCAGAGTAACTTCTCATCATTTGACAACCTGTAAGATTAGTTAATCGCAGGTTCAGCGTTGCAAAGGAAATGGCACTGAACACCACTCGCGTCAGCTCAGGAGCAGGCAGACAGAGGAGATAATATTTGATGCTGTTTTGCTCAGTTACCAGAATCCATTGCCTTAGGTACCTGGGATTCTGTCACAGCCAAGAACAAGTTAGGACTAAATACACTCTGTGCTTAACCTGGGAAAGAAGGTACAGCCTGCAGCGTGGTACAGGACAGCAGAACCTTTAACCTTTGAATTGCAGAGGCCACACTTCCACGTAGTTCTCTTGTACCTTGGCTGAACATACCCAGGTGTCACAGTTCTGACCAGAATGGCACTGTGTCCAGCATGAATTCTGCACCTCTGGTAACTCACAGAGCTAATGGATTCTCAAACCAGCAAAGAGCAGCTTCCCTCCTACCCTCCTGGGCAGCCAAAGCGCATCCTGCACCTCTCCCCTAGGAACACCCGGATGCTCAGCTATCAAGAGGCAGCATCTTTACAGGATGGGGCTCCAGTAAATGTGAGTGGCCAAAACAGGTGTGAGCAAAGAGGTAAAAATAAGCACTGTCCCACTGGGGCTTAGAAGGAACCTGCGAGGTTACGAGGAGCAGTGCTGTACCTGAGAGGAAGCCGAGACAAAAGGGAGACCAGCCTCTCGCTACAGGACTCAGGTTGGTTAATGTTTGTTTGGGAGTGGGGGCTCAGGGGCATGACAAGACAGCACAGCTGCGATAGCGGTCAGTCTGAGAAGCCAAAAACTCCAGGGGTTGGCAGCAGCTGGCTCTCCCCTTCCCCTGGGGATTCTCTGTTCCAGTTCCTAGAGTACGAGCGCCCCTTTCGTCAGCACCTGCACTTAAGTTCTTAAATTTGCAGAATTTATTGTTTTTTTTTTTAAAAATACCCCTGTACTTTAATCACGAAAAACCAGTCCCCGCCCCAATTCTACTAAAAACATGATTGTCCATAGCTGGAGGCTTACTGAACGACCTCACCCCATCACCAGTAAGTTACTCAAACGTCCAGTTAAACAGCAGGCAGCTCAACCTTTAGGTAACACAACTACAAAAATGGGATCGTGCTCTCTTCTCTCTCCCCCCTCCTCCTCCTCCTCTTCCTCACGAGAGCCCCCTTACTTTTTCCTAAGCGCCAGCGCTACTCCAACTGCTACAGCAAGTATGGCCACCGCAGCAGCCCCACCATACAGCAATATAGATTTCCCTTCTGGCAGTAGGATAGGCTTCTCCTCTGCAGCGGAGGGTTTCTCTTCCATTTCTTCCAATCGGCCCTCTTTCCCCACTTTTTTTTCCCCTGGAAGCAGTATTTTCTCAGGTTCTGGTGCAGCTTTTTCTTCTGATGGGGCTAACTTTGGGACAGGTTTACTTAGTACGGGGGTTTCAGGTTCAACAAGCTCTTCAGCCGCTTTTCCCTTTTCCTCCTGTTTTGCACGCAGCAGTGCGGAGGGATGTGCTTTTTCAGCAGCAGCAATTTCAGCTGGAGGTTTTACCTCCTGTGAAGGAGCAGGGGGTTCTGGAAACACTGCCTGCACGGTCTGTGCAGCGCCGGCTGCCACCACTGCCTCCTCAATCCCCTCCGGAATCTCTTCCTTCTCCACGTGAACGATATCTGAGTTGGAAGAGTTGTTCTCGCTCCTCTCTTCACCCCCACCGTTGCTGTCCAGGCTTTTGACTTCTTCAGGATCCATGGCCACTTGCTGCCAGGACTCGGGTCCCAGGGAGACCGGCAGGCTCTCTGTGTGCCAGCTCTGGCTCGCTGACAGGGACACGGGCAGGCTCTCCGACTGCCACGACGTGGTCACCGTGGGGGACTCCGGGGGGCTCACCTGCCCCGAGTTGTCACTGGTCAGGATGTAGATGTCATTGCTGTCCTCCGCGATGAGCCCGGGGTACTCCTCCTCTTCGGATTCCAAAGTAAAGACTGTCCCCTGTGAATGAAAAGGAGGACACAACACATGAGTGATGGCTTCAGCATTGCCTCCCCGGTACGGGGAGGAACAGGACACCTGGAAACTTAGTGGGGCTGGAGGAAAGATGAGAGGGCCTCTCGAGAGCGGTGGCTGCCTGACCTACATGTTAGAAGAGATTACAAAACCCACTTGGCATTGCCAGGGAATGGGACCACTTGTAAGAGCTTTGCTGGGAGCTTCTCCTTCCCTGATGTTACCGCATTGCTGAGTACATCCCCATAACATACCACGTGGGCATTATTAAACAGAGAACAACATACCAAAGTCTGAAACCAAACTGAAACAGAACAAGGAAAGCAAACGCAAGTACACAAGCCCAGCTGGATACCACTCCCTTCTCCAATTTGTGCAGGTGCTGTGTACTGTCTGTCCATTTTCATCTAACAGCATTTCTCTTACATTAATTGTATCACATTTCCAGTGCTACCTGGAGCCTGTATTTCTGCTTTGTAGTAACAAGCTGGAATCTACGTTAATTGTAGTATTTTACTACAAATTTAGCCATTCTTAAGTTCGCTTCCAAGACTGTCATCCTAACTTCGGCTACACAACTTAAAACCAGCAACCGAGCAGTTTCCTACCGATGGTTTCCCATTCCAAGACACCTCCTTGGTTGTTCCACAACTTTTATGGATCCACTCAGTGATGTGTGTCAGGAACTGATCCAAGTTAAACATACACATTCCTTATTTTGCCGAGTTGTCTTTAACTGTGGTCAGTGTCCAGCCTGGCCCACTGAGGTGGGCCAGTGTGTGTGAGCATGGACCCAGGGGTGAGCATGCCCAGTGCATAAGCTAAACATGGACCAGGGGCGAAGCAGGGCCAGCGGCAGCAGTGATGCATAAAGAGCTGAATTGATACCAGTGCCCTGCTTAGACAGCAGAAGGAAAATGCATTTCAGCCTTGGCAACTCGCAATTATCAGTTAGTCTCTAATATGCAAGGAGTTCAGGGCCTACAAGTCAGTGGCTTCTAACTAGGAGTAGGCATAAGGCAGCAATGCACTTTTCTCTGAGGGAAGCTGAAGAGGACTCCCCTCGTACACGGGTGTACTCTGTGCAGACACACTGCAATTCCTCACTTCCCAAGGAGGAGAAAGGATCTACACACACACACAAAACCACAAACCACCTCAGGAGGAGCTGGCAGGCACAGGAGAGACAGCCCCAGGCACTGCTGGTCATGGGCAAGTAGCTGCAGTGAGAGTAACTGAAGCAGGAGGGGATCCCTGGCAGAAGCACCAACCTGGCACTTGAGAGAGCTGTGCAACTTAGGGCAGTAACACTTCAGCATTTCACAGTGGAAATTATTACTGTGTCAATAACCTTTGTGAAAAGGCGTCAGTGGAGCCCGAGCTGAGTATGGGACTGAGATTTCTCTATCCACTCTTCCCAAACATCTCACCATTTTGCAAAACTTGATGGACCCATTCCTGGACTTTTCTACAACCGTGGAGGCTGTAGTACAGGATAGCACTGGGAACATAAGGATTCCATAATGTTATTTTAGCAGAGGTGGGATGTAAATCTCATCTTAGTCCATGGAATTTTGGAAGACACTTGTGCATGAACAAAGGAATCATAGAATGGTTTGGGTTGCAGGGGATCTTAAAGATCATAAAAGGAACTTCAGCAGTGCCTTTAAATTGCTTGGCTGTGTGAAACATCATCCAGCTCAGCAACATGTTCAGAAACTCTCAAGGGAAACGATGCACAGTGTTCCTCAGGGAAAGGGTTAAAAGCTATGGAGTGCTCACTAACCACTTAAATGATCACCACGAAGTCTCGATCCAGAATGAAATAAAAATTAATAAAGCATTCAATTTGTGCAACGCTCAGGCACCACACACCCCCCACAAACCCAAAGCAAGTTCTGCTCTGTGAGTACTGACAGACCATTCAAGAGTCCAGCTATAGAAGTCATGTTCCACTACAAGAACTATATTTAACTATATCTTTTTTGAAATGCAACTCAGGCCATCAAAACCAAATGGAGCTCTACGACCTAGGAGGAAGCAACCAGCATTGCAAAGTAAGGGCAATGGAAAAGAAGAGCCAAGACACTAAGTAAAGGCAGAGGTTAAGTGATAGAGACCAAATGCTGAGCAGCGCAGGTCAGGGCTGCTGTGCAGCAGGAGGACAGGACTCCATTCAGCACTGACTTGTTCCGTTCCAGCAGATGCTTGAGAGCAGCACGGCAGGAGGCAGGCACTGTGGTGTGCTTCTACCACCATGTGCTGAGGCTGAAGAGGCAGCCACTGTCCAGACACTCTCATTGTACATTCACTCCTTTGGTCATCAGGATTTTCTCTGGATGTTGATTAAGTAGGAAATACTCTCACTGTATTATCAGCTACTAACAGACACCTATGATCGTAGCACATCTTTTATTTCCACAGGTCATACAGACTCAGAACAATGGCAATTAAATCAACAAAATAACTGGGATAAACCCTACAATCTCATGAACCTCCATACCTCCCTGCTCAGCTCTACCCTTCCACAAGCCAGAATTAGTTTACTTCCCATTCGCAGCACATGGCAACACACCAGACTATGACTGTGATCTGATGCTAGCAAAAAGAGCAGGGCCACATACAGCTGGTCACAGCTCTTCACACACCACTGGAAGTGCCCCCATGCTGCCATGGTCGGTTCAACATGAAGCATATAAAAAAATATCCCAAAGCCACAGAATGCTGCTGTGGGCCTGTGAGCTCTGGCCATTGTTGCAAACTTCTTTTCAGTAATAAACTAAACGAAACACCAACTTGGGCCATATTCTGACAGCCTAAATTCCCCTGAAGCCGTACACTGTACAGTGGTGAAAGCCAAGTGCCTCTGAGCAGTGACTCAGCAGCCACAGCAGGGTGGAGGGAGCCGCCTGTACTCCATGGGGACAGTCGTGTATAGAGACTGCGGTGGAATTTAAGCTATCCTGATGCTCCCATGTATTTCTCCAGCCTCTTCTGCTCTATTCCTGACCCACCGCTCCCAACTTTTCCCTTCCTTAAGGAAAATAAAAGTTGTTCTTTGCAGGGAACCCACAGACCCTGATAAAGAGGAATAAGTAATACAAAGTACCACCACAGCTGCTATGCAGCCAGTAACTGCCCAGGCCCAGCGAGGTATCTTAGTTCAGTATGATGTAATGCTAGATCCTCAGCCGGTTAACAAAGGGATGGGAGGGCAACACTGACAAACAAGGATAAGGCGTTGGTTACATTAGTTATTCCCATGTGTCAGGGCATTTTTGAAAGACCACACGCTCCGCTGGAGTGCTTTCTCTGGAGATAAGCTCCTCACAAAATACAGGTAAGATCTGGGCAGATGCTGCGGGTAATGTCCAGGATAAACTGCTTTGGAGAGGGTAAGGAAACGAAGCGATGGTAATACAGGGAACGTGGACAACCCTGAACATTTCAAATGCTTCATTAACACGTGTAGCAAAACTATATACCCATCCTGACCTCAGCAGAAGGGAGGGCCTAAGAGGCTCCAGCGATTTATTGTTCCCTTTTCCCACACAGATTGCACTGACCTCAAAACTTATCAGTCACTGGCTTCCTATAAATCAGAGCCTTATAAAGCCTGGCTGATTCCTTTCTGTTTTAAACAGACAGTTTAACTTCCATGTCAGTGCCTCAGGGACACAAGTCTCCAAGCTTGGAGAGACTGGTCACCCAAGGTTGGGAAACCTGGGGGAAAGCTCACACACTGCCTGTCGATGGGTAATTTCACTACTTTCTCATTAAAAGCTCATCAAGTTTGAACTGAAAAGCCAGACAATAACAGGCATTATTTAGGATACCTGATTAATATTTCTTGAGCTGAGTTAAGAGTTAATTGAGAAAGCCAAGAGGATAAAGCTAGGATTCAGTTGAGATTTGCTTAGGTTTTTTGTTGTTGTATGGGTTTTCTATCTTTTAAAGCAGCTTCAATAAACACTGAATGACATTTAGGACAATTCTCTCAATTTATCTACAGATGTGACCCAGAAGCAAAGCTCCCACCGAGAGATTAATTCAGGACACGATGGAACATGTGGAAGGATTTTTAATAACCTCAGGCCTTGTATAAGCTCTAGATTTTAGATTTAACACCAAATAGCAAATACAAGTAAGCATTTTTTTAACTGCTTTACTTATTGTAAATGTAAATTTCCTCCAGACCAGGAAAATTAGAGCTCTTCTTTTTCAGATTTGGGATGGGAGACTTGCAAACTTGGAGTGCTTTTCCTCATCCAGCATACTAACAGAACCATGCCAGGTATGTCTAGAGAAGCAAGAGTAAGGCCTTCACCGCAGCACCCTGCCACTCCCGATCCCGACCACTGCCACTTGAGGGAAGAGCGAGCACAAGCTACAACAAGGAGGAGGAGAAACAGGTAGTTCCCTTCTTGTCTAGAATACAACAAGGATGGACCACAGCATGTGAGGCAGTCTTGAGGAGAAGAGCAACTAAATTCTGCCAAGGTGGCATTTGCAGACCTAAAAGGAGTCCATCACTTTCCTCAGCCTTGAAAACTCGCAGAAGTTTTCCACAAGACTTCCACAAGCACTTGTAACAAATGTGCTAGACTTGCCCTCGGGATAGGTTATAGCCCTTATGCTACAGGGTGAGGTACACCAGACAAATGTAAACCGGTAACAACATAATGAAAAAATATCTGAAAGCTCCTCCAATAAGCAGAACCCACCAGTCTGGATTCAGCTGTATCCTGCCAGCATCAGTAACCTGGACTTTGCTGAAAATCACTCTCAGTAGTGGAGGCAGAACTCTACCAGTCTTTAACATGTAGTAGAAATAAGTAAACGCCTGTCAAGTTTCAATTTCAATTTCAAGAAAGCAAACATAACACACACAAAAAATAAATCAAGACTTGGTAACTGACTCTCCTGATGACTATACGATTTTTCATGGTTTTCTTATAGATCTCGTATTAAGTGCATAAGCTGAC